AAATTAGAACAAATTAATAAAACTGAAAACCAAAAAGTAGTTTACATTTTTTAATTTGAGCTGACCTGTGATTTTGACATTAAGTCGAAAGAATTTGTTTACAGTGTTGAAATGGCTATTAAAGTACTCATTTCAGTTATTTTTAAACGTCAGTTGTACCAACTGTGGCATAAAAATAACCCGTGTCACATTTCGAAACCTTTTAAATGCAAATTTCCCGTTGTGAAAAAGCCTGACTCACACGGTAAAAATCCCTGTCTTATTATTTGTGTCTAAGAAAGGGTACCCAGTTTCTACCTGCTTCACTACCTGAAATCTGAGTCAAAAACCCGTCGAAAAACCCATCCTAAAACGCAAATATTTAGTTTATATAACTAAAGAAACAAATTGCTCAATGTTGGAACAAACGAAAACGCAATTTACATAATATTTGTAAAATGTCAAGTTCCCACCTAATAATATGACGGAAACAATGTCAGAATAATAAAAAGTAAACCAGATGTTGTTGGAAAAGTGTTCAAAGTACGCCAAGAATCTCGCAAATCAATTAAAACGGTTCAACGAGTCGGTAATTATTCTAATAAAGTGGATTTCTCATCCAATTAGCAGCGGCGATTTTTGCACAAATCCACAACAAACTTCCTTATTGATGAAGTTGCGATATTTGAAACGTTTCTCTCTCGAAAGAGATAAAATTGCATTTTTACGACACAGTTTTAGTGTCTGCTGAAAATGTAAACATGGGCCGTATTTTCAAAGAGCGAACGTTTGCCAATACTAAACAAACAAAACGAATGGTTTGACGACGAGGAGGAGGAGGGTCATTATAAATATAACACTCGTAAATTGGTATTGTGTTTCCCCCATTCGAGTTCGTGCTCATTCAAACGAACATAACTGAAATCAAACTGTTAACCCAGTTGCACTAAATGCGCATTATTCGATACAATCTAACGCCCTGGAATGTTTACGTAACGCTTCGATGGACGATTTGAGCGACTAAGTGGAAGAAGAAATGACTTCGAGGAGAATTTCTTAAGAATTTTTAAAAAGGGCGATTTTTCTAAAAAAAGCTAAGAAAATTTTCCATTTGGTTAAAACTGCCTAAAGCACTGAATACGAATAATTAAATAGTATATTGCAATCGAGTTGGGAAATAATCGAGAAAAATTCTTTTAGAATTTCGACAGAAATTCACTTTTTTAGGAAAATGAAATCGGACTTAAAAATGTGCGATTTTTCCAATAAAATCTACAAGTTTATCAAAACTTTCTAAAACACTTCATTGATTGAATACGAAAAG